CCACGGCCCCAGCCCAGAGCCCCCGCTCCAGGTCCTGGGCCTGCTTCATGCCAGGTCTAGCTGGATGCTGTCATGAGGGTGCAGGCACCAGGTGGCCTTGGCTGAGCGGCCCAAGGTGGGAAGAACAGTGGCTTCAAAACCTGCAGAGGCCGGACTTGGTGGCACGTGCCTGCAATCCCAGTGGCTTGGGAGGCTGAGGCAGGAGGATCTCGAGTTCAAAGCCAGTCTCAGCCACAGCGAGGCCCTAAGCCACTCAGTGAGACCCTATCTCTAAATAAAATACAAAATAGGGCTGGGGGGTGAGGCTCAGTGGTCCAGTGCCCCTGAGTTCAATCCCTGGAACCAAAACAAACAAAAAACACTCTGCAGAGGCCCTCAGCAATAACCACCCCAACTTCAGCTCAAACTGGAAAGCACCCCCAACCTTCAGTTTTCTGAGCTCTCTCCCCACAGTCAGGGTGCCCAGCAAGCCTGGTGGTGGCAATGGCGCTACCCCCTGGCTCAGGAGCGGGGAGGTTTACCCACCACCCTCAAGCGCATTTCTAAATCCCCTGGTCATGAGTGGCCGTCTCCAGCTGGCACAGCGGGGACTAGCACTGGGTGAACCCTCCTGTGCCGCAGTCTGGCTGGGCACAATTCAGGAGCCACTTGTCAAAATAAACAAACTTTATTTTTTGAGCCACACAAGCCAAACAAAACAGCTCCTCAGGAAAAACCCTCAGAGCCCCACTGCCACCACCGGCTTCCACAAGCCTCTCTCAACCACAAGCCTCACCACCTCCCACAATCCTCCTGCTCTTGAGGCCGATTGGCTGGGTCGCGTGGGCAGAGCCAAAAAAAGTCCCCCAATAAGCAGCTCCGTGGTCTGAAAGGGCAGGGAAACAGCCAATGAGCATCACCGCAGAGGAGCCAATCAGCTGGAAGTTTGCTGGCAGCTGGAAGTTTGCTGGCAGCTGGAAGTTTGCTGGGGCCCCTTCAGCTGCGGCTCTCAACACTCCTGGTGCCTGGTCCTGTGTGTCCTCAGTAGCTCCCCTTCCCCTGTGGCCTCGTGCCCAAGCAGAGCCCTTCAGGAGACCGGCCTGTGCTCATCTGCTGCGTTCCTCATTCAGTGACAGGTGGTGTCCAGGGTGTGGCTCTGGGGCTGTTTGTCCCTGGGGCCTGTCTCCAGTTCTGAATGAGGAGCAGAAGGAGTCGGGGGCGTGGGTGCCCAGGTCTCAGTCTCAAGAGACCCTGGAGAAAGCCACAGGCCCGATCCAGGTCACTCTTGGGGCCGCCCTTCTCCTCCCCCAGGTCAGCACCAGCCACAATCCCACCCCCTGCCCCTGTCTCCACAGCTGCCACCTCCTGCGGGGTGCACTGCTGAGCCCCGTGGCCCTGCCTTCTCCCGGCCCTAGCCCACCACCCTCTGCTCAGCAGCCCCAGTGGTCAGACCACCCCCTCCCGGTGAGAAACTTGCAGACACTGGGGGCCTTACCAGAGGCTGATGAAGCTTTAGATCCAGACCCCTGCTCTGCTCCAGCCCCAGGCTATGTGGCTAATGAGCATTGTCAGTTCCAAAGATTAATTAGGATTAGAAACAGCAAAGAAGTCTGGCAATGCCCCAGATCTGACCACTCCTATCTAACAGAAACCTGACAGAGGATTTCCCAACTTTGACAATGACCCTGAGGATTCGCATGACATCATCCAGAGTGAAGTGCTAAGGTGAAGGACACTTTAGTTCCCGGATGGGAACCTGTCCTGTGAGGCTGGGTGGGGAGGGGGAGCCGATCTGCTTTCTGTTCTCTCTGGATAAAGAGGGTGCAGCCCCAAAGATGCAAGGGACCAGGCAGGATGCTGAGCAATAGAGAGTGGGTTTTTTTCTTAGTTGTTTTGGGTAATTGTTGGCTTTTGAAAATCTGTAGTTTATTGTGATTTCTTTTCTCATGCTAAATATTAATTTGCATAGCTAATTCTGAATCCTAATTCTACATTGTTATAAAGGGAGTTCGGTGAGGGTATAATTTTCAGAACTGTGATATCTGCATTTGCTGCCTCTGGGGGCTTCCTCCTGCCCTGCCCCAGGTTTGGGGGGTCCCTCCCCATCCCTTCTGCTCCTCCTCCCAGGGCTCCCTCACACCCACCCCAGTGGCCTAGCCGGGCTTCTCACAGGTCAGCCCTACCTTGGTGACTTTGTGTTCCCCTCGTCCTCTGCCTGGAGCCTCTCTTGCAAAAATTTCTCTCCTGGTTTCTCAGGTCTGAGCTCAAGGCCACCGTCCTGGGAAGACCCCCAGGATAATGCTACCTGTCACCTGCGCCACGCCCTGTGCCAGCTGCTGCCATGTCCTCTGCGTTGCTTACTTCTCTGAAGATGGAGGCTGAGGCAGGAGGACTGAAGTTCTAACCAGCCTCAACAACTCAGGGAGGAACTGAGCAACTCATGAGACCTTGACTCTAGATAAAATATAAAATCAGGGCTGGGATGTGGTTCAGTGGTTAAATATCCCTGAGTTCAATCCCTGGTAGCAAAAAAAGGGTGGGGGTGTTGAAAATCTGAGCACAAAACCAGGAATACGGAAGCAGCTCAGACAATGCCAGCTATTACTGTGCCCACCGCGCCCATTAACGCTTTTGTTTACAGTGGAACAAAATCTTGAAGAGCCTAAATATCTAACCATAGCTGATTGTCTAGATAAATAATGCTGCATCTTTAAATTATGGTATCACTACGAAAAACTGTTTTTTAAAGAATGTTTAATAATGAGAGTAAAATCTCACGAAATGAGATGGAGTTAAAAGAGAAGGTCACAAAACTCAAGAAAGCAGGGCTGCCCCTCTGGGTACATCAAACTAACCCTACGGTTATTTGATGGATAATGGAACGAGAGTCACCGACTTTTCCCTTTGTTGGTTCTGTAAACATGTGTAACTGTTAAAGTCCGTGCAGCAATAGCGCTAGTTTTAGAGCGCCCAGAGAATCTCCCATGTTCTCCCTGATAGGAGCGCCATGGCTGTGATGGGAAATGGTGGATTAATACTTCTCCTAGTCCTTCATCCTTCCCTGTCCCCATGCATGCACAGCTCCTCCCACGGAGGGCAGAGGGAACTTCCTGGTCTTTGACATTGGCCTTGACTCCTGTGGAAAGAAGTGTGGTTGTAGGCTTTGTGTGTAGATACGAAGGAACTTTACATGTCCCATTGGCCCTTTAGTGCCTCTGCCATTGCCATGGGAAGAAGTTGCCCTGTGCGGGGGGCAGACCAGCATCGAAAGCCTGCAGCTAGGAACACCCAGCCCACCATCAAGAGGGTGGGAAATGCACGCTTGTTACAGAATATTACCTGGATTTGGGGTTATTCGTTACACAGCAATAGCTGACTGATACAGTGTGGTGGAAACGTTCCACATGTGCTAAAATCCATCAAGAGAATGGTTCTGTTTCCTCAGGTAGGCCCAAGGGGCTTGCAATGATAATGGAGCTAAAAACAGAGCATTTTAAAACCATCAAGCCAATTGTCAGGAGTCTCCAAGGCAAAGAAGCCCCAGTATTTCCCCCAGGGATTTCAGACACTGTTAGCTTGTCAGACTCAGAGTCACAAAAGAATCTCCTTGTCCTTAGATGTCATCCAGACTAAAGGACAGCAAAATGGTAACAATCATTTCAAGGATATTTTTTCTTAGAATAATTGCATATCTTCATCATAGACAATGACAAAAAGGAAAATAACTCATAATACCATCACCAAAAGTAATTTCTGTCAAATGTTGGTTTCTATGTATATTTATGTTCTTATGTGTATATTCTTCCTGATGATCTGTTTATTCTACTGTTGTTCACGTCTCCTGTGCCACTTTGCATCCCACAGTTGCACAGGATTGTAGAACTGTCACCTACTTTCCCACTGAATGAATACACCATAAATAATGTCACCTAGCTCTGGGGTGACGTGCAGGTTCCTGACTGTTGTTAGCTATTCTAAGCCGCCTTCCGCATACTGGTCTCCGGGGGTGTCTCTGGCTGCTCCTGAGGGCTCCACTTCTGGCTGTGAGTTGGGTTGGGGTCGTGTGTTTATGAAGCCTCCTGTCCCTGTCTCAGGTGCCATCGTCCTCGCCTGTCTGATGGGAGGGGTTGACCCTGGTGACCGGCATGCTTGCCTCCCCTTTCTCTGGGTTCCTGCAGTGGGCAGGCTCCCCTGGGAAGGAGGGAGCCCTTGATGGATGAATGTCATTCAGAGTCCCCGGCTTGACAGAGGCAGAGCTGCCCAGCAGAGGGACCCGGGAGGAGGGGTGGAGGTGAGCCAGGAGGCCAGAGATCCCGTGTCACCTCTCAGTTCTGTCATGAGCCCCTCCTCCTGCAGCCTCACAGCAGATCCCCACGGCCCCAGGCCCTCCCTAAGCCTGCCCCCTGCCCCGTCCTCTCCTGGAGCCCAGAAGCTGTGCTCTACCGAGGAATGGGGACACCTCCCCGCCCTTCCCGGGTCTCAGGAAGCCCAGACTCCCAATTATTTGCCAGGCAGACTCGCATCAAAGGGCTGACAGTCCAGAAAACTTTTCTCCCGTCTCCTGCTGTGACAGTCCCCAGGTCTTACTGATTTACTGAGCAGGGACAGAAATGAATCTGTGGCTCCCACAGGGGACATGGCTGGGTGGATCTAAAACAGGAGCTAGGAGGAAGGGTGACCCGGTTTGGGCTGGGTATCTGGGGCTGGCCTTCTGGGACTGCTCCTGAGGGTGCTTGGCAGGAGCGGGAGGCCTGGGCCCTGCTGGCCCTTCCCAGGCCCACGGGGTGAAGAGCGTGGGGGTCCTGGCCACGTGGGGCTGTGTCCATCTGTGTGAGGTCCCCACACAGGAAGACAGGGTTACTGAGGCCGCTCTCCCTGCCCGCTCGGGTCCCTGTGACTGCCTGCTGCTGGGCCAGGACCCAGGGGACCCAGCGAACACCCAGCTTTGCACTCCGGCTCAACCTTGTGGACCTGAACACGTCCCCCCTTCTGATGTCTGGCTGAGGACAGACGCGGCCAGGTCAAGTCTGTTCATTTTTATTCAATTGAAACATAAGCAGGCTGGGCCTCCTGGTTGCGTTTGGGATCTGGGGGGCCACCGCTTGCCCAGATGGGGGACTTCTTGCTGCCTCAGCAGTGGGTCTTCTTGCCTCAGGAGAGAGACTGATCCGTGGCTCTGTCTGAGGCTGGCGAGCATCAACCCCGGGCCGCGGCCTTGTCTGTGGTCTCACTCAGCATGGAAACTCCCATGCGGCCGTGACCCTGGCTGTCCCAACACGCTGGACCTGCTCAGGTCGGGGCCTTCCGACCGTGTCCACCTGGAAGCTTCGCTCTGCCTACTTGAGGAAGGTCTCAGAGAGCACCAGTAGCTCAGGTGTCACCTCCTGCTGCTGTCTGGCCTCTTCAGGGGACTGATCGGGTCCTACCAGGCGGAGCTCCCCGCTGTTCTCTGTATCCCCAAGTTAGCTCACCTGTCAATCATCCCGTCCCAGGATGCCCTGGTCACTCCCTTCAATGCTTGTCCTTCAGGTCCTAGAGAGAACGCTTCTGACCCAGAGTCCAGGGTGGTCACCATCCAGCCCTACCCTACGCCTGGGGTCCTCTGCTTCGGTGGCCCCGTGAGTCTGCATTCCGTAGAATGGTGACGTTTCACTGCCCCATCCCCCCCCTGGAAAGGCCTCCTGCTGCCTCCTGGGCCCATCTCTTCCTGCACTGTGGCCACTGGGGACGGCAGTGTGGCCTCTTCCCTGCTGCACCCTGAGGTCAGGCACAGGTCTGTAAGTCTCCGGGGGCTTCTTGAATTGCGTGAGTTTGCAGCTGGGCCTCTCCTCGGCCCCTCGGCTTCTCTCCCTGGAAGGTTCCAGAAGGCTCTGCTGCTCCCAGCACCATGGTCTCCTCCCTCCCCAGCTGCCTGGCCGGCCTTGCTGACTCTCCAGGCTGCAGGAAGCTCCCAGCCCACAGGCCTCTAAGCTGGCCGCTCCCTCGTGGTGTTCTACGTCTCCTTTCTGGGCTCCTAATAATAGCCACCTTTTTAGGGTTTTGCAGAAAAGCTGGAAGACGAAACAAGCGGATAAATCACATTTTTAAAAAATGGGCCAAACATGGATTTACACAATAGCCTGTGACAGACGCATCTTCAGGGATGATCTGGCAGGAAACATCCATTTTTTCCAAAGGGCGTCGCGGCCCTGGGAGGAATAATGAGGGCTTTTTTAGGATTCTAATTATCCCGGTGCTGACAGGCTGCAGAGCAAGAGCCACCGCAGCTCAGCGTCGTGTGCACCTGCGGGTCTATTCCTGGGTCCCCAGGTAGGAGTCGTGCTCCCAGGAGTGGCCTGGTGTGTCCAGCGCATGTCCTCGGGCTCCTGCCCCCATCCTGCCCACGCACGACCTCAGAGGGACCAGGGCCTGGAGGCGCCTGTGACCTCAGGACCCAGGATGCAGCAGAGTCTTCATCATCCGGGGGCTGGTGTCCTGCCACAGCTCCAGGGAGCCGCCAGGGAGGGTCCCCCCAGGTGAGGGAGGCTGGGGGTGCAGTGGGCGGAGCTCAAGGCTGTGAGGCTGTGGCTCAGCAAAGAAATAAGGGCCCTCGCTGTCCACCTGCAAAGGCCTGGTCCCTGATGGGGGAGCACCAGGGGTGGGATCCCTGAGGCAGGGTGAGGTGGGGCTGGGTTCCAGGAGCTCTCTGTGGTGCTGAAGGCCGGGTGTGTGCCATCCCACTCAGGGGCCACACCAACCCCGTGGGACAGGAACTGGCCCATTTCCCAGATGACAAAAATAAAGCTCAGAGAGGTGGAGCAACTTGTCCAGCACCTCACAGCTGACCCCTCCCCCACACTACACCGGCTTTCCCACGGGGAGCGCTCCCCACTCCACACACCTCCTGTCCCTTGGAAGGAAGAGGCCGCAGTACAGCAGCAGCAGCGGGCCCTGCTCCTCGGGCAGTGACCACACTGCTGGGCTGGCAGGGGTGGAAGGCGGGTGCTGAAGCAGGCAGAGGCCGAGGAAGGGCCGGGAGGCGGCTGCTGGTTGGGGGCCGCAGGTTCTAGGATCCCTGCTTGGGCAGCTCTTGCCCCAGACCCAAGCAGCTCCCGGCTCCCGCTGCGGTCCCACCGCCTGCTCTCTTCCTGCACCTTGGGGGGTGCGCTGCGCCCAGGGAAGCCCTCCCTCCACCTGGAGCCCCTAACCCTGCCCCAGCCTCAGTGGCTCCTCCCCTTGACCCTGGCCCTGGTCCGGCCTGACGCTGGGCTTTTCCTCTCTACCTCCCTGGAGGGCCAAGCCCCATCACAGTGGGGCTCCCTGCCCGCCCCTAGCGTGCCCATCTGCCTGGATTCCAGCCCTCCTCCTCCACACCAGTCACAGGGTCTCTCTGAAGAGTTGATTTCGACTCCATCCTGCGGAAACCCGCCAGGGGTCCCACTCAAATTCAAAGAAGCCCCAGCTCCTCTTCTTGAGTCTTGGTCCACGTCTCAGTGGGGAGGGGCTGTCTCTCCCCCTGCCCCATCTCCTCTGGTGCCCTCAGCCGGGCAGAAGCCAAGCCCAGGAGGGTCGGCCACTGCAGGGGAATTCCTGGGAGGGACAGGAGGACCTATCAGTGGCTTGGGGCAGTGCTGGGAGCTAGCGGCAGGAACTGGACGGCACCCGCGGACTCTTCTTACCTGCCAGAGTCCACCAGCCGCAAATCCCAGGAGCTCACCCTGCAGCCTGCAGGTGGGGACACTGGAGAGAGTGGCACCAGGTACCACCTCCCCCCAGGGTTCTGCAGTGACTTAGTCACAGCACTGTGGTCCTGACTGGCTCCCGGGCCCTGTTTGGAGGTAGCTCTGTGGTTGTGCTGACTTCCAATCTCCCACTGTGAAAGTGGGAGGGGGGCTGGCCTCAGGAGGCTGAGGCAGGAGGATCCCAAGTTCAAAGCCAGCGTTGGCATTTTATCGAGGTCCTGAGCAACTTAGTGAGAACACGTCTCAAAATAAAAGAATAAAAAGGGCTGGGGTGTGGCTCAGTGGTTAAGCACCTCTGGGCTCAGTCCCTGCTATCAATTTTTTTTTTAAAGGAAACAGGAGGGGGTGAGAACACGTGCCCGTGCCCACCTCCTGACCCGCCCCTCTCCCCAGTCACAGTGATACCTGTACCTCCTGAGACCCCACCTGAATGACAGCAACAGCAGGGCAAAGGCGCTCCGACTGAGATTATGGACACGCCCCCTCCCACGGGGTCACAGGCAGCACAGAGTGAATCAGTGTCCGGGTGATGGACAGATGAAGAGGATTTGCATGCGCGGCTTGCATTCACATGATCCCCCACATTCCAGATTCTCCTTTTTTTAACTGACTTTTATATCTTGGCTGACGTCGGAGGTCGAGAACAGGGAACAGGCAGCGCAGGTACCAGGTTGGGCCAATCCAGCATTGAGTCCAGCTCTACTCAGAACCTGTGTGTGGCACATAGAATCTGTGCCTCGGTCTCCCCATCCCTAAAAGGGAGTCACCAACACACAGCCCAGGGCTGTGGGGGGACTGGCTGGGACAGGCATTAGTCATCTGTGGCTATGTGACAGATCACCCCAGATCTAGTGGCTGAGGCCACTCGAGGTTTATCATCCCGCAGTTTCTGTGGGGCAGAGACTCAGGCAGGACTCTGGGTCCTCTCCTTCATGAGGTTGCAATTGAGTTTCCCACTGAGGCTGAGATGTCATCTGAAGGCTCGCCTGGCGAGGACGGTTTCAGGCTGCTGTGACTGTGGCCTCATGGGCTGGGGCTCTGCTCCTGGCTGCTTCCCACAGGAGGCTGCTTCAGCTCCTGGGGGTGGGGGCTTCCTGGGGCAGCAACTTCCTTGAAGTGGGGAAGATAAGACAACAGAATGGTCACCCAGCAAGACAGAAGCCACCACCCTTTACAGCCAAATCATAGCACCGACAACCCACCGCTTTGGCCGTATGAGGTAGTTAGAGACAGGTCGCAGGTCCTGCCTGCCCTCCTGTGGGGACAGCTGCCCAGCACAGGATTCCAGGGAGGCCTCACCCAGGGAACCCAGGCCCACAGGCCCCGGCTCCGCTGTTCGTGTCTTCTCTCCGCCACTCACTCAGCAAGGCTTCAGTGACACCAGCTCTGTGCCAGGCCCCAGCTGGGCACCGGGAACGAAAGGACTCGGCCCCAAGCAGCCCTCAGTCTGTAGGGGAGGTACAGGCTCACAGTGATGTCCCCTCCCAGGCCCCTCTGCCTGCTCTGCCCACCTTGCACCCCACTCAGGGGCCTTAGCAGGACACAGGTGCACTCGGCTCCCTGGCCCTCAGGTCCCCACAGGGCGCCCCTCCGCACAGAGCAGTAGGTTCTCAGACCCGGGGCTTGCTCCTCCCCGACCCCCCGCCTGCTCTTCTCTGAGAACCACTGAGGGAAACTGAAGAATCCTGACTGTGGTGCTGGGGACCAGGCAGATGGCTCTAGAGTTAGCAGCCCACAGACCCAGAAGGTTCCCAGCACAGCCCCACGGGTGCCCTTGGGGCTTGGGGGACAGCGTGGAACACCCCTCCCCCAGCCGCTGCCCCGCCCTCCTGCCCTGGCATCGCTCAGCCAATCCCAGAGAGGCCCTGGGCGGGGCAGGGTCTCAGGAGGAGGACCCAGGGACAGGGAGGAGAGTCATCCAACCCCTGAGAAGGGACAGAGTCTGCTGTCCCCAGGGTTCACAGCCGGCAAAAGGCTGTCAACATTTAGGTATGAACGACACTGTGAGGGACAGATAAACCGAACGGGCGGGCCACCCCCGCCCGCCTTGGAGACGGGGAGCAGGCTCTGGAGGGGACCTTGGCGGAGCCAGAGCTGGAGAGGAGGCTTTCGCGGAGAGGATAGGGGGCAGCCTTGGCCCCGGGGCCACCTGCTCCCAGCATGAGGTGTGTCACCTCACTGCGTCCTCACCACCCCAGTGACCCCAGGGAGAGCATTGTGGCCCACAGAGGCGGAGCCATGGGGCCAAGTCACACCCTTTTGCAAGGTGACTGTCATGGCTGGGTTCTTCCCAGGGCAGAGAGGTGTCTGTGAGGGTCAAAGCCACCCTGTCCAGGGTCAGCCCCTCCAGGTCCCTGGTGGCACTCCCCCTGTGTCTGTCCCACCTGCAGAGCCTGCTGCTCCCTGGAATGCGGGGGAGGGGGGGGAGGAGCCAGAGAGGGAGGGACCTGCTGGCTGCGTCAGAGAGAGTCCCAGTGATTTACGCAGGGTCACTCGGGGAGGGGGTCAGCTGCCCAAACCCTCTGCCCGGGACCTCTGCTCCTTTACAGGGAGCAGTCAGCAGGGACGCTCTCCCAGGCCCCCGCCATATGGCATGGACATGGCTTGTCCTGGAACAGGCCCCTGAGAACTGCCTCGCTCCAGAAAGCTCTCCTGGGAGCAGACTGAAGTGCTCTAGACCTACTGGGTGCAGTCATTGTTCCTGATTCAGCCAAGTGCCACAGGTCACCGAGTGACCGTTGATGATGTCCGGGTTTTTCTGCCCCCCCACCCTCCCAACCTCTTCACTCCCAGTCTCCCTCTCTCCTCCTGCCCTCCCGGCCTCCTCCTCTCTCCTCCCTCCTCTTCCCTCCTCCTCTCTCCTCCC